CTTCCTTCCCTCTTTCCTCCCCCCCGCTCTCTCCCTCCCTCCCTCCCTCCTTCCTTTTTCCTTATCCACTAGTCTTATAATAAGTAGAGACTTTCTCTAGGTTCTATAACCCTCAGGCCTAATAAGTTCAATTTTGGTGATGCTGGGATTTTTTTTTTTTAAATTTCATAGACATTTTAGTGGAAGTTGAAAGATACATGTACTTTAATGCAGTTTTACACTGGAAAACAAGCAATATTTTTATAACATTGGTTGAAATCAACCTGGTTACATATTTTTGCAACAATACTGCGGAACACGGGATAACATATCTTTTTTCTTCTAGAACAATTTAAAAGCTATAAGCTCTACAGCTGGAATGGCTTTTATAATCAGACTGTTTAGCAGTATTTTCATTTCTGACAATTCTGTGTGTGTGCTCTATTTTGTTAAAAAAAGGATTTGCCATGTAACACTATAAAACAAATACATTGAATTTTATCTGATACATTTATAATATCTGTGTGGTATAAGAGACATTGATCTATCCTTTATTATCATTTTCAAATATATTTCTTAACACTTAAAGTTGTGTGTCTGAAAGTACTCTTTTCTTTAAAGGTGCTATCAGTGCTAAAGCATTCATTGCTGTCCTTCAAGCAACCAAGAGCCATGGACATGTTAAAACTTTACTTCTTGTTTTCTTTGCAGTTACTGGTGAAAGAGGTATGTATTAACTACACTTTTTTGTGGGGAAATATCATTGTTACTATCTAGATTTCTTACCATGCTGAACTAATTGTAGCTTTTAGAAGGTTCTATCCAATGACTGATATTACTTATAAATGGTATAATTATAAAAGTTGGGCCAGGTAATAGTTACAAATATTTCTTATATTGGCACTAAATACTATTTTAAACTGGTACTTACTAAGTTACTTATTAATTATGTGGTGAGTTGACTCAAACTAATAAATTGCTTTTTGTTCCTTAGGGCTATTTAGATCAAGAAGGTAATCCTATGGGGTTTGCTGGACTTGTATCACATTTGCATTATCATGAACCTTCGAATCTTGTTTTTGTCAGTTTTCTCGTAAGTGGCCTTTTCCATGATCTCTGTCAGCCAACCAGGAAAGGTAAGCTTGAGATTTTATATATCTACAGAGAGACAGAGTACAAAAATAACAACAGATTTGTAGAAAGCCAACACGGCAGGAATATTTTTCATAAAGAAAACACAATTAATATGTAGATTATTTATAGATCTTCAATTGACAAAATAAGTATCTACTCATACATATCATAGGATAGTCAGCTATATTTTATGACACCTATTTAATGCCTCCAAAGTATTAACTTCCGTGATTCCTTGCCTCCAGGATTAATAACATATTAACTAATATACACTTTTCAGAAAATATTTTCTTCTAATTAAATACAATATGTGATCATCATAGTAAAAGGATATAGGAAAGCATTAAGTTAAAAATAAAAAATTACTCATAATTACACTATCCACAGTTAATGACTGTTAATATTTGTGAATATTTTCTTCCAATCATATTTTCTTTGACTATTATTATATAGTATATCTAAATAGCAGCTATTATGTTAATAGTTTAATTTAGAATCATATCTTCCCCTAAAAATACCAAAATTTTACCCACATTAAGTAAATTTTAAAATACATTTTATTTAATACATTTTTGTTTAAAATCTTTGATTTTTACGTTTAAACACTAGATCTGTATGGTATTCTTAAAATCACTAAGATAGACCGAAGGGAGGAAAATCTAGGCAAGGAAATAAGGCAATCTGTGTGGGATGATTAGGATCCAAATTATACGGCATAGGTAACAAGAACGGAAAAGAAGGCACAGATAAAAACTGTTAGCAGATACATAGTAACTCTTCAATTGCTGTATTTGTCATACATTTTTAGTTTCCATGAAATTAAATGTAATATGACATTCCATTTAAACATGAAAAAACTAGAATTATATGCTTTTATATTTACAAAGAGATATTTTGTTTTCTATAGGCTCAAAACATTTTTCTCAAGACGTTATGGAAAATCTAGTGTTAGTATTGGCACATCTCTTTGGAAGAAGATATTTTCCACCAAAGTTCCAAGATGCTAAATATGAGTTTTATCAGTCAAAGGTAAAATGTATGATTCTGATAAAATTTAGTAATGTAAAATCACTAAATAGATCTTACCTAAAATGACTCAGCATCAGTAAAATTGCAACTCAAAGGACAGTTCATTTTTCAGAATAATTTGTTCTTTCTGTAATCAGTGTGATATTTAATCTGTAATTCATGTCTCCCTCTGTAAAGCTACCAAAAAGTTCAAGTCTTTGTGAAAAAACACGATCAACATTTTACTCATGTTTTTATCTGATTGTATCAAATTATAACATCAGGTGACTAAAGAAAATATTTGCTAATTATACATTTAAGTGAAACAACTATCTTTATCACCAAATATACTGTTCCTTTAGGATCCTTTTACCTTAGGTAGGACTATGGAAGGGAAGTATATGTTGTGAATTGTAACATCTTCTCTGAGAAAATAATAGAATAGTTATCTAAGAAATCATTCCTTGACTCGCAGAGACCAAAAAACAGAGAAGTACTTTTTCAATTTTATTTGTAACATGCAACGTTTTCTTTGGTTACGATTCTCTACCATCAAATCGACATCAAATACTATTACTATTATACTTCCCTAGAATAAAATGGGATATGCTGGTTTATACTACATAACCTTAGTGAGAAGCTGCTACAGAACAAAACAAAAAGTTAATATATATCTTCTAATCCCACAATGTTGGATTACAAGTCTGTGCTCTCATAGAATGTCCTCTAGAGCAGTGAACACATGGTCTAACCTATCATCTTCACACTTTTCACCACCCGTACATTTTTGAAGCAATTATTTAATTGTTCTGTTTAAACAAATTTATATTTAACTTATAAAATTCAGTATCTCTATTTTGAAAGAAAGATCATGATAAAAATACTCTTTTCTGGGTAACAGACAGATCTGCATGAAATGTTGGAGTGCTACACCAAATGACTGAAAAATAGGCCAGACATGGTGACTTCTGCCTGTAATCCCAGCACTTTGGGTGTAAGAGGTGGGAGGATTGCTTGAGCCCAGGAGTTTGAGGCCAACCTGGGGAACATAGGGACACCCCATTTCTAAGAAAAAGAAAAAATTAGATAATAATTTCTAAAGTCCCATATATTAAATAAAAACTTACTAGAGAAAATAATCTGGGTCTGTCTTCATGGATAGGTTTGTATCCCCTTCAAGACATTTTCGAAGCCATCTAGGACTGGAAAATTAAACAGCAGTTTAGGAAGTCTACAGGAAAGAGGTGGATCTTCAGTAGTTTTTTGTATTTGAGAAGACTAAGACCAACTAGCCTCATTCTCAAAATCCCAAGAAAGTCATCACCTAGAAAGAACGACAAAGCAGATATAGAATGAGGCTTATTAATACTGTAAAACAATACCCACTACAGTCTGTACTTGAGCTGAGGTGATCATACTTTCACTCTGTTGGCTAAACATGAAAATGGGGGCATTCACTCTGGTGACAGATAACATCTAAAGCCTGTAAAGCCCTTTGAAAACAATTTCTGGTGCAAAACCAAAACCAAAACCTAAAAAGGTGAGCAAGCATGAACATATGACCAATAAGCAGGAAGAAAAGAGACTGATGATTGTAGATCCATATATGATTCAGACATTAGTGTTAGCATATAAGGACTTTAAGTATGATTATTATGTTCAAGAAAATAAGAAGAGAGTCAAAAATTGGTAAAAGGATGGATAGTTTTACTAGATAATTAGAATGTGTAAAACTAAATGGACAGTCTAGAACTGAAAATACAATATCTCACTTTCAGAATATACATTTCAGAAGTTATGATCAGTAAATTGACAGCATAATAGAAGGCATCCAAAGTATAGCACAGAGATAAAATAAATTTAAAAAATCAAACAGCCTAAGAAACATGAATCATACTGAAAAAGTTTAATGTATATATAATGGGAGTCCCAGAAAAAGAAGATGGAGAAAAATGGCCAAAGATATTATCAAAAAGATAATAGCTGGGAATTTTCCAAAGCTGATAAAAGATAGCTCACCATAGTTCTAAAACCCTAGTCAACTTCAGGAAGAATAAATATAGAAAAACACTAAGCTAAAACTGCTTAAAACACAAAGAGAAAATCATAAATCACCTAGGACAGAAATAAAGTGACACATATCCTTCTAAGAAGCAATAATGAGAATGATAGATCTCTTTTTAATCAAAATAATAGAAACTAGTGGACAATGGTGCAACATTTTGTTGTTGTTGATTCAGATATTTTATATGCAAATACACACATTTATCAGATATACACATATATAAACTTGGTTATACATAACTAGAATCATTAAACATACTATTTGCTTTTTTATATTTATATTAAAGATACTTTTTCAGGTGACTACATATGAATTTTTGGGGGGATTTTAAAAAATTTCAATAGTTTTTTGGGAAGCAGTAAGCATGAACACATGACCAATAAGCAGGAAGAAAAGAGGTTGATAATTGTAGCTCCATAAATGATCCAGATGTTAGTGTTAACATATAAGGACTTTAAGTGTGATTAATACATTCAAGAAAATAGGAGGAGAGGCAAAATTGATAAAATGATTTTATCAATTTTGATAAAATTGGTTTGGTTACATGTGTAAGTTCTTTAGTGGTGGTTTCTGAGATTTTGGTGCACCCATCATCCAAGCAGTGTACACTGCATCTAATGTGTAGTCTTTTATCCCTCAACCCCTCACACCTTTTCCCATGAGTCCCCAAAGTCCATTGTACCATTTTTATGCCTTTGTGTCCTCAGAGCTTAGCTCTCATTTATGTAAATGAGAACATACAATGTTTGGTTTTCCATTCCTGAGTTACTTCACTGAGAATAATGGTCTCCAACTCCATGTAGGTTGCTGTGAATGCCATTATTTCATTTCTATTTATGTCTGAGTAGCATTCCATAATATATATGTAAGACATTTTCTTTATCCACTGGTTGATTGATGGGCAATTAGACTGGCTCCATATTTTTACAATTGCAAATTGTGCTGCCGTAACCATGCCTGTACAAGTATCTTTTTTGTATAAAGACTTATTTTCCTCTGGGTAGGTACGCAGTAGTGGGATTGCTGGATCAAATGGTAGATCTACGTTTAGTTTGTTAAGGAATCTCCACACTGTTTTCCATGGTGGTTTTACCACTTTACAATTTCACCGGCAGTATAAAAGCGTTTCCTTTTCACCACATCCATGCTAACATCTATCATTTTTTGGTTTTTTGATTATGGCCATTCTTGCAGAAATAAGGTGGCATTGCATTGTGGTTTTGATTTGCATTTCCATGATAATTAGTCATTTTAAGCATTTTTTCATACGTTTGTTGGCCATTTGTATATTTTCTTTTGAGAATTGTCTATTCATGTCCTTAGCTCACTTTTTGTTGGGATTGTTTTATTGTTGCTAATTTGAGTTCCTTGTAGATTCTGTGTATTTGGTCCTTTGTTGGGTGCATAGTTTGTAAAGATTTTCTCCCACTCTGTGGGTTGTCTGTTTACTCTGCTGATTATTCTTTTGCTGTGCAGACAGTTTTTAATTTAATTAATTCCCCTCTATTTATCTTTTTTTGGTTGCATTTTATTTTGGGTTCTTGGTCATGAAGGCTTTGTCTAAGCCCATATCTAGAAGGATTTTTCCAATGTTATCTTCTAGAATTTTTATGCTTTCGGGTCTTAGATTTAAATCTTCGATCCATCTTGTATTGATTTTTGTATAAGGTGAGAGATAGGATTCAGTTTCATTCGGCTACATGTGGCTTGCCCAACTATCCCAGCACCATTTGTTGAATAGGATGTCCTTTCCCCACTTTATGTTTTCATTTGCTTTGTCAATGATCAGTTGGCGGTAAGTGTTCGCCTTTATTTCTGTGTTTTTTATTCTGTTCCATTGGTCTATGTGTCTATTTTTCCGCCAGTACCTGTGGTTTGGTGACTGTAATGGTATAGTATAGTTTGAAGTCAGGTAATGTGATGTCTCCAGATTTGTTCTTTTTGCTCAGTTTTGTTTTGGCTATGTGGGCTTTTTTTTCCTTCATTTTGAAGTTTAAGGTGTCTTTTTCCAATTCTGTGAGGAAAGTCATTGGAGCTTGATGGGGATAGCATTGAATTTATAAATTTCAATTGGCAGTATGGTCATTTTCACAATATTGATTTTACCCATACATAAGCATGTTTCAATTTGTGATGTCTATTATTCCTTTCAGCAGTGTTTTGTAGTTTCCCTTGTAGAGGTCTTTCACCTCCTGGCTAGGTATATTTCTAAGTATTTTATTTATTTATTTATTTATTTATTTATTTATTTATTTTGCAGCTATTATAAAAGGGGTTGAGTTTTTGATTTGATTCTTGGCTTGGTCACTGTTGGCATATGGCACAGCTACTGATTTGTGTACATTAATATTGTATCCTGAAACTTAACTGAATTCATCAATCAGTTCTAGAAGCGTTTTGAATAAGTTTTTTTCAAAATGCTTTTGAAAGCATTTCCCCTGGGAATGTTTTCAGCATTTCCCTGTAAAGTATAATGTTGGCTGTGAGTTTGTTATAGATGACTTTTATTACCTTAAGTTATGTCCCTTCCATGTCAATTCTGCTGAGGGTTTTAATCATAAAGAGATGCTGCATTTTGTCAAATGCTTTCTCTGCATCTGTTTAGATGATCATGTGATTTTTAATTCTATTTATGTGGTGTATCACATTTATTGACTTGCATATGTTAAACCATCCCTGCATCCCTAGTATGAAACCCACTTGATCATGATGGATTATCTTTCTGATATGCTGTTGGATTCTGTTAGCTAATATTTTGTTGAGGATTTTTGCATTTATGTTCCTCAGAGATATTGGTCTGTAGTTTTCTTTTTTTGTTGTTGTTATGTCATTTTCTGGTTTGGATATTAAGACACTTCTCTTTCATGAATATGAGTAAAAAAATTTAATAAATTATTAGCAAAATGAATCCAGTGAGAGTTTAAAAAACCCTCACAACAAAGTGAGATTTATTCTAGGCATGCAAATGTACTTTGTCTCATTGTTTGCTATTCAAATATGTCACTAAGAGTCTTTGAAATATTTATAAGTCTAATGCTATTTGAGGGCATGCTTCTATTTAAAAGTGGTTTTGATTCAGTATGTTAAAATATATTTTTAAGGGTAAAGAGTAAGGTATTTGTTTTCGTAATTGCAAGTAGAAACAGAAGATGAATTTACCTGAATTTTACCAGTGAAAAATAAAACAATGACATTATTGAATAAATATTAATAGATAACTATAGAATTATATTGCTGTGTTCTTTACCTTTTTTCTTCCAAAGATTCAGTTTTGAAGGAAAATAAATAGATCTCTCGGAAAATTATTTGGCTTCTAGGTGTTCCTTGATGATCTCCCTGAGGATTTCAGTGATGCCTTAGATGAATATAACAGGAAAATTATGGAGGACTTTTCCACTTTCCTACAAATTGTTTCCAAACTGGCTGATATGAATCAGGAGTATCAACTCCCATTGTCAAAAATCAGTAAGTATATTTTACCTCCATTGTGGAAAAAATTTGAAGAATAAATAATCTTGCCTAAGCATAATTTATTCTCGAAGAAGAGTGGAACCCCATTATTCTGCCTTCAATTGAGGAGATTCCTCTTGCTTCCTAAAGAAAAAAAATTATGCTTATTAGACATTAAAAGGGCAAAAGAGAAGGAAACTAAGTAGGGCCATTTATAACCATCTTGTTAAGTGTTGCTTCAGGGTCAAGCCTGGAAAATACAGTAAATCATCTATGAGATGAAGAGAAACTAGAGACTAATTCTGCTTAGTCTTGAGAGGAACTATGCTTAGTGTTCATAAACATAGACTCTGAGCATCTTTCCTGGGTCCAAACTCTGGCTGTGACTTATTAGCTGTGAGATCTTGAGTGAGAGACTCCACACTCCTGCTTTAGTTTTCTGAACAGACAAATGAGAAAGGGAATACATTATCTACCTAGTTTTGATGGGTGTTAAATGATCAATTTATTATATATGAAGATTTTAAAATAATGTTTATCATATGGTTAACACTCTTAGCATTTGCTCTTCTCATGAGCTAATAGATGGAAGCCTTCTAAGGGAAAATGGACATGAAAAAGTGAACATCACAGATGGGGTGAGATTGGAGTCTGTGAATATTTTGCCTCAGTTACAAATTAGAGCCCAGTTTGAATGTCTGATCTATTTTACATTTATAAGAATGTAAATGAAAAATATTTTTTATTCTCATGCACTACTTCCAAACGTATTAATAGTGGCTGCATGGTGTCAAAAAAGATTCTGAAGCCAAATCTGAGTTCAGTAAGAAAAAGTACAAAGGTAATAACTATAATTCTCTGATGAGTGCAATTTAAATTTAGTCTTTCATTTCTTATTGATTAAAGCAACTAAAATGTAATACAAACTTTTATAATAGTGATACAAACTTTAATAACCAACTTGCATTTAATGTATTCTGTGCCAAGCTGTGCTACTCACCTTATGTGATATAACTTATAAAACATTTCAGTCTTGAAGCTCAATGGCTACATGAAGTTCAATGGCTCCCATTGTAACATGGTCTAGAGAAAGTATCTGAGGTTTGACAGCTTTGCTGAGTTCAAAACTAATCTATTCCTAACCACTACGGTCAGAATTCACAGGTAAAGAATGTGAAGACTCCCAACTTGTATCTCATTTGATGAGCTGCAAGGAAGGAAGAGTAGCAATCTCACCATTTGTTTGTCTGTCTGGAATCTTTGATGGTGATTTGCTTCAACTGGAAACTCCAAACCATGTAAGTGAAGAATGGGTTTTATTAATAAAAGGTGTTTAAGAAAGAATTGATTTATATTGCTAGGCAGCTTAGAAAGAACTTCAAATTTCCCTGATTAAAAAGGCAAAAAAAAATCTGGGCATATTGACCGATATTGGTGCTTTTGAAGCCAGTGTGATTTCACTTTCTCAGAACTGGCCTGAGGACACTACTGTACTCAGGAGTTTCCAGGCACTACTACTTTTCTTCCATCACTGAAGATTCTGCTAATATTGACACAGGTTTGCTATGGAAGTAGCACATAAAACTGTCTTCAAGCTTTCTCAGTACTGCACTGCTATAAATGCTGTGAATACTACTTATATTTTGCATTCATGATGCCTAAAATGGAATGCAAAGAACTAGACACATCTGCAAGATCCTGGATAATTCATATGAATGTTGAAACTTGTTGAAATTTAATTTATATTTTAATACAAAATTTGAGAAAAAAACATTTTATTACATTTGATATTATGAATTGATATTGGTGTCTCAACTCTATTTTATTCCAAAATCATAGTCCTCTATCACTTAAAGTAACTTTGAAAATGATATACCCCTTGTGCATTTTAAATAAGGACGTACATTTTTATCCTAAATTTAAATACTTTCTAATGATATAGTTTTTAGTTTCAAATAAATGTTGGTATGCTGAAACCAATGAATCATTCTTTTAATTGTATAAAATGGAGTATCAACAAGAAAGTGTTTTTACACCCATAGTCATTAAGTTAAAAACAAGTCAAGAAAAACTTTTTATAGGGATTTATAAATTTGCAGTTATTTTTCTGTTGAACTCACATTTTTTTTCATATTCCCTCACATAATTTACCTTACCCAACTCACTTTATACAAATTTACTTTACTAAAATAAGTTATAACCTCTTAAAATTGTTTTGCTTTTATTATTTATTATATTTTAATACAACGTTAAATATACATACAAATACATACTTTTATAGCACATAGATATGCTATAAAGCCTTGAACTAAATGGACAGCATGTACTAAGGATACGTGTGCTCTTCTCACGTTTAATTTTCTTGCCTCCCTCTTCCCCCAGGCCATCAACCTTTCTAAATTTTGTGTTTTTCATTTTCCTTTTTAAAAAATACATATTAGAAAATCCCTTTTTATATTTGTTTGCTTGAATTTTATGAAAAGTGAAGTAAGTTACTTCAGTCTCCTGGAAGTCGCTTTTATTTACGTTCAATGCTATGCCTTAAAGTTTATCCCTGTTATAACATCAAACTCTCCTTTACTTTTACTACTTAATAATACTTTATAGTGTGAATATCAAAGAACCTTTTGATCTATTCTCCTGTTTTGAATGGTTGTGTTTCTTTCCAGCCTTTGGTATCACACAAAGGGTTCCTATGGATGTCTGGTGCATATATGCAATAGTTTCTCTTAGGTATTGATTTTCTGGGTTAAAATTACTTTCTGAGTCAGATAGGAATAAGAATATTCAATTATTAAACTTTTCAAGTGACTACAACTCATTTACAAAGTAGTTGTGCCAATTTACACTCATACTAACAGTATGCTAAAGTTCTGTTGATCCCGTACAGTACAGTTTGCAAAAAAAAAAAAAAAACAGACATGCAAATCACGCTACCATGTGTGTACCTATGCAACAATCTTGCGTGTTCTTCACATGTACCCCAAAACCTAAAGTGCATTAAAAAAAGAAATATTACCTACCAAAAAACAACAATTAGACAGCAAACACTTCATCAGCAATAATTGATGCCTGGAAGATAATGGAGTTATAAGTTCAAAATGTTAGGAGAAAAGAAATGAAAAAGCCAGGATTCCCTGCCCAGCTAAGCAATCATAAAGAATGAAGGCAAAATAAAAACATATTAAAACTTACAATGACTATGTTGCACGAATAGACTCTTAGTAAAGAACTGATATATCGCAGAATGTACTTCAGAAAGAAGAGCCCAAAGAAGGAAGCAAGACAGACTGGTGGTCACAGAAATTGACCATAAGTTATTTATTTGTAATCAGTAATTGGCTACATTTGATAATAAGATATATTATCAAATGCAGCCAATTACTGATTATAAATATAAATATAATATATTTATATTTATAATATAAATATAGCTTATTATCAAATGCAGTGTTACTGATTATAAATAAATACATTATGATTAAAAGTGACTATGATGAAAAGAAAAGTGGCAACATGATGAACCTTGAAAACATTATGCTAAGTGAAAGAAGCCAGAAACAAAACCACACATTCTATAAATCATTCCATTTACATCAAATGTTTAGAATACACAAATATAGAGACAGAAAGTAGATTAGCAGTTGCCTAGGACTGAGGTGACAGAGAAGAGAGTGGGAAGTAGGCCAGCACTGTTGGTGAGTACAGGATTTCTTTTAAGGGGGACAAAAGTGTTGTAAAATTAGATCGTGGCAATGGTTGCACAACTCTGAATATACTAAAAAAATTGACTTGCACACTTTAAATGGGTGAATTTTATACTACGTGTATTATATCTCAATAAAGTCATTTTAAAAAGTGGGGAGGAAAAAAAGAACAGACATGGAAATGTTTGCCTTCTTGTTTTCACTTTCCTTCTTTTTGTCCTCCTCCTTCTTCCTCCTTTTTTTTTTTTTAAATTTAGGTAATTTGGTTCCAAAGATTGTTAGAGTTCAGTTGAATTATTTTCTTGTAATGTATAAGCCTCTAACTGATTGATACTCTGTTTACAAGTAAATTTCCACCACCAATAAGGAGAATAAAATGATGTTAGGTTTTCTTTCCTAGTGAGTGTGTCTATAGTCTAGTGGGTGGTTGGTTGAAAGTGTTACCAGTATTTTGTGGAGGCAATAATCTTTATGCGGTGGAGCTGAGCCTCTCTCCAGGCTTGCTTAGGATGGTGCTACTACAATGTGTGGGTAAGACGCCCTCTTTCTTCACAGCGAAGAATGGGCTTTAAAAATGGTGACTAAACGATGTAACTACAAAGCACCACATAAGAAATTATAAACCTTCTTTATACATGAATAATACATGAAGAAGAATCGTGTTTTCTCAGGTTACTCTAGGCACAATCGGTGTCAATCGCTCTCAGGCTCCAGTGCTGTTGTCACAGAGATTTGATAACCGAGGAAGGAAAATGTCGCTTAATGCCTATGCCCTGGATTTCTACAAACATGGCTCCTTGCTAGGATTAGTCCAGGATAACAGGTATGTCCTGTCTATGTTCTCTGTCCCCCCATCTCCATCCCTAATGAATTAATTTAATGAATTTTAAGGAAGAATCCTCATTACAGTTTCAAGTGTAGTTTAAATCATGCTAAATATACAAGATTTTTTTTTGGAGACTAACGGCAAGAGAGAATAACAAATTCAGTATTATTTTTGTTTGTGGTTTTCCAGCAAAATCTTGGCCCTTAGGCCAGCTCACATGACATAATGCTGTACTCTAAAGATATAAATATCTGCATATGCCCTTAGATCTTAGATATATTTTTATTTATTACTATCCTATGTATTCATTAATATAAATTTTAAAACTGAATACATAATAACAAATAATGCCTTGCTCTCCAACATTTGAGAAGAGTAGAGATAGGACTGAGTACATGACAATTGTTTTAGTTCTGTGGCAGGAAAAACGTTTTCAGAAATAGTAACCAGGAGTAAACACTCTTGGATTTACCTAGGATGAAGAAATTGACTTGGACCACAGCTGTGGGGCGGGGGTTTCTGTCACACCAAAGCAGGAAATCTATTTATTTTTTTGAGATGAAGTCTCGCTCTGTCACTAGGCTGAAGTACAGTGGTGTGATCTTGGCTTACCGCATCCTCCGCCTCCCAGGTTCAAGTGATTCTCCTGCCTCAGCCTCCCAAGTAACTGGGACTAACTGGGACTACAGATGCACACCACCACACCGGGCTAATTTTTGTATTTTTAGGAGAGTCGGAGTTTCACCATGTTGGCCAGGATGATCTCAATCTCTTGACCTTGTGATCTGCCCCCCTCTGCCTCCCAAAGTGCTGGGATTCTAGGCGTGAGCTACCGCACCCAGCCACCAATTTATTTTTTACATAAAATTTTGAGCAATCTTTACTGAATTAAGGTCTTAAGAAATTCTGACAATCTTCAAAGATGTTGAGCACTGTTTTGAAAAAAAGTGACTCATTGTGAATAAAGCAGCTATGACATTAGTAAATAATACATCTGTTTCTTTTGAGTCTCTAGTTCCAATTTACTTTCCTGAGTTTTACTTTTCTATTTTGGTTATCTCCTGAGATGTCCAGCCTTGTATTTTTATTATATATGGTTGTGAAATTTCACTTCTTGAATTCGTAATCACCATTGCCATAGATTAAATCAATATCTGGGAGTCTGTGGCAGAAATGATTATGGGAAATAGATCTTGACAAAGTAGCCTATCAATAAATCCAACATTTAAATATGAAATTAGATGTTCTTTAATGTTTTGTGTTATTAATTTTCAAAATGTTGTTTTGCTTAGGATGAATGAAGGAGAGGCTTATTACTTGTTGAAGGATTTTGCACTCACCCTTAAATCTATCAGGTGTGTTGTATATTTAAATATTGATTTTAGAGTTTTTAATAATTTATTTATAATTTGAAAAATGTTGAACCCTTACTATAAGCCATGTACATGAAAGTGCCTTTAAGCTTCTTATGTGCGATGCAGTTCAGCTCCCCAAAATCTCTGCAGAAGGTCTCCTCAACACCTGTTGCATTATTTCTATAATAGAATTAATTTCAATGTCTATTTGAGATGAAGTTTCATCCAGACTAGAGTCTCAGCCCCAGGCATCATGCACTGACAGGCAGCAATAGTTTTGCATACTTCACTGACTCCTGGGTCCTTGTATTCTCAATTGCCACAAGCAATGTGTGTCAAGGACATGGTATTTCAGAGGGCTCCTTAGGGCTCCAGCAGGTCTCCAGTTTATTCTCTGTTACATACTTTGACTTTCTTGTTTTTTCCAGGCTCCATCCGACTCTAATCTCTCATATTGGCCTCCTATTTTCATCTTTAACAAAACTTAGCAGGGTCCCAAGGAATACCAAACTTTATTTGGGTACCCCATTCTTAGGCTCCTTTGACCATCTAATGCTGCTTAGTTAAATGTCCGTCTTTCCAAAGCCTTCAATCTGCATGCATCTCAATAGTTTATGGGTGTTGCTTTGTCCTGTCACTTTTTATATATTTAATTTGACACACATCTCTCCATTATTAGGTTCTTGCTAATCAAGTCTTGTTTTATATCTTGGATCTGAGCAGAATTAGGCCTATTTGGACTTTTCATACAGAGAGTAAAACTTTTGGGAGCAGAAGGAAACTGGTTTGTCCACTTGTATTATCTCTAGATAGGGTATTCTTTGAGTGGCTTGTAGTTACTCAAGTTATAATCTCCAGAGCAGCCTAAGAAACTCTATAGACTTGGAAGCTGTCTCTAAGGCTTGGCAGAGGAAATCACTCATTTATGCATCATCTAAGAAATATTGGAGCATTTTTTTTTTTTTTTTTTTTGAGACGGAGTTTCGCTCTTGTTACCCAGGCTGGAGTGCAATGGCGCGACCTCGGCTCACCGCAACCTCCGCCTCCTGGGTTCAGGCAATTCTCCTGCCTCAGCCTCCCGAGTAGCCGGGACTACAGGCACGCGCCACCATGCCCAGATAATTTTTTTGTGTTTTTAGTAGAGACGGGGTTTCACCGTGTTGACCAGGATGGTCTCGATCTCTTGACCTCGTGATCCACCCGCCTCGGCCTCCCAAAGTGCTGGGATTACAGGCGTGAGCCACCGCGCTCGGCCTGGAGCATTATTGGTATGAGACACACGTCTAAGAATGTGAGCTATAAAGGATCATCAAAAAATCTTTTTTTTTTTTTTTCGAGATGGTGTCTTCCTCTGTTGCCCAGGCTGGAGTGCAGTGGCGCCATCTTGGCTCACTGCAGCCTCTGCCTCCTTGGTTCAAGTGGTTCTCCTGTCTCAGCCTCCCAAGTAGCTGGGACTACAGGCGCCCATCACTACGCCTGGATAATTTTTTGTATTTTTAGTAGAGACGGAGTTTCACCCTATTGCCCAGGCTTGTCTCGAAATTCCTGAACTCAGGCAATCTGCCCTCCTCGGCCTCCTAAAGTGCTACGATTACAGGTGTGAGCCACCATGCCTGACCAAAGGATCATTTAATTGATATACCTGCTTAAAAAAAACTCTTACACTGTAGTGAAAAAAGCTGACTTACAGACCTTTCAAACACTGCCAGGGCTATGATGGCAGGTAAAGGAATGGCTAACTCTATTTGCATTCAAAGAAAGAGTCTCACATGAAGTAGTTTTTTGACTAAGCCCTTAATCATGGGGAAGAAGAAATAGTATTTTCAAAGTACAGCAATGAGAAGGGGCCTGATGTGTCAGGGAAAGACTCCAAGCTCACTACATCGACATGGAGAATATGGGGATTTGACAGAGACGGGGGAAGATGTCAGGTTGTTGTAAGAGACTTTAAATGGAATTTGGATCTATATCAGGAAAGTCTATATATTAACATTAAGAAATTTGGCCTTCATCTTCTGAGCAATGTGTGGACAGTGCATAAGCATGAGGGTGGCCTGAGCCTGCAGACTGTATATGTGGCAGAAATGTGTAGGTACAAAGACGGCAACAGTCGTGCAGGTGAAAATGAATGAAGGTCTGAATTAAGGGAATTGAAATATGCAGCATGATCAGAAAAGTATTTACAAGGTAAAATTCAAGAAATTGGTAAAAAAAAAATTATGCAGTTGGTAAAGGTGACCAAAGTTTCTATTTTTGTTAAGGATGCATGGGAAACAAGGGTGAGCATGACATTTGAGGTTGAGAATGAAAACTCATGAGTTAGAATTTATATCCCTCACATTACATCTGGGAGATATCAGTCAGGAGGAAGTGTTGTGATTACTTACAATCAGTAGTCACAATTGTAAGTCTGTAACTCAGAAAGAAATTTGGTGTAACTCAGACAGATCTGATCAATTTTTGTGGTTGGTTAGTGATGACACTATAAAAAAACTGGAACTCTAGTGGAAACAAGGTAGGTGCAAATTTAATAAAAGGCTGATAAGATGTCATATCATGATAGTTTTCAGCCCTTGATCAGCCCAGCTGTACTGTTCTTTTTGGATTTATTGTCTCCTTTTTTGTTACCTGTACATTAGCTTCTTAACGCTGCTGCAACAAATTACCACAAACATGGTGGTTTAAACCAACACAAATTTATTATTTTACAGTTCTGGGGGTCAGAAGTCCAAAATGTGTCTTAATGGGCTCAATCCAGTTGTCATCAGGGCTGCATTTCTTTCAAGAGACTCTTAAGGGACAATCTGCTTTTATTGCCTTTTCCAACTTTTAGAGGCTGCCAGCATTCCTTGGCTTGTGGCTTCCTTTCATCTCCAAAGCCAGCAATGTTTGGTAGACTCACACTGCATCATTCTGACTCTCTCCTGCCTCACTCTTCCACTTACTTTTGAGATTACACTGAACCTGCCCGGATAACCCAGGATTATTTTCCCATCTCAAGGTCAGCTGATTAGCAACTTTAATTCGTTTAATTCCATCATTCATTCCCCTTTGCTGTGTAACTTAACTTATTCATCAGTTTCTGGGGAATATGATGTGCACCTCTTTGGAGGGCCATTATTCTGCTTACCATATCTTGTTTTCCTCATCTTTTTACACATCTAGGTAAAGAAAGGAATATTTGTCTCATCATAGATGTAGCTGCCTGTGGGTTTCAGCATACAGGGGACACAGTATCATAAATAACACAAAATGGTTCCACAAGAGATACATAAAGAAAAGAAAAGAAATTTGTGTTGTTGCACTATTGAAGGAAGAAGGGATCATGTTATGTGGAATTTGATGGCCTCTCAGACTCTCTTGGTGATAGTCATGGAGAAAAACTGCATGGGGTTGTTTTGTTATCTTTTAAAACAATTGTACACAAGATTTTTTAGGAGAAATATGTTTCTTATCATTATTCTTCATATTTTGCTAATATAATTTCATCATCTAATGGGATTTACTTACTTCTGCCTACCCAAGGAAAGCCTTTTTTAAAATATCCAATCTCACTAAAATGGGTCTTATATTTTTTTCCTCATTTGCAGCGTTTCCTTGCGTGAGCTATGTGAAAATGAAGATGACAACGTTGTCTTAGCCTTTGAACAACTGAGTACAACTTTTTGGGAAAAGTTTAGCAATGTCTAAAACAAAGTATATGCAAACCATTTAAAAATAATTCCTTAGTAGTTTTTCAGGTCATACTTTCGATTCTCATGGTTCTTGCCAGAAATACCTTATGATGAAGTGGGAAGAGGAAGCACTTTGCAATCAAACAGAGTTGCAATCAAACCTGCCATGTTCTATCATGAATAGTCACAAATTGCTTAGTATACCTGAATCTTGGTTTCTGTTTAATAACTGAGTAATAATGCTTATGTCTCAGATAGTTTGAGGATTGACTAAGAAAATGCAAGAATCTCCTATGTGACTGAATAACAATTTTTACTCTGTGAAGCCAAAGTAAATATTATATTCTCATTATTTTTATCCCCAGCATCAATATTTATAAAATGTTTATTAAGCCTTGACAAAATGATTATAGTATCCTGAAGCTGAAATATATTCTCTCCAATTAACATAAATATGGTTACATAAGTTAGCTATACTGCTATTGAGATAGTATTTTCTAGTATACTTAAACTAGTTTTTAAACATATAAATAGGAGTTTTGGTATATATTTTGTGATGATTTAACAAAAATACAGTGAACGATTTGCTTTATTATAATTGTATATAAGTGACTGGAAAACCACAAAGAAAGTGAATTTGATCTGTTTACCATTGGTCTCATTGTGTTAAATATATACATCTATCAATCCACTTGCACAATGTATTCATTATATATATTGTAATTTATATGTAATAATCTTGCCTCTTTACCGTTAGCCTCAGGTCACAGTTCTAGAATCTATTTTAGATTGTAAACTAAAACATAAAACTTTTTATTCTCAAAGCAAAAAGTCTGCTATCTCCTGCCACCCAGATGTCCTACTGAAAAATTATCTCTTGTATGCTAGTTTTTATAAATAGATTACCTTGGCTTAGAATAACACCTGTTGTTCATTTAGTCTGGAGATATAAAAATATTCTGATTTCTGACTAAACCATCATTTCATGTACCATATTATAGCTCTCATCCAAAAAGGATGAGTTCATGTCCTTTGCAGGGACATGGATGAAGCTGGAAACCATTATTCTCAGCAAACTATCACAGGAAGAAAAAACCAAACACTGCATATTGTCACTCATAAGTGGGAGCTGAACAATGAGAACACATGGGCACAGGGAGGGGAACATCACACATCAGGGCTTGTTGGAGGATTGGGGACAAGGGGAGGGATAGCAGGGGGCAGGGGGGATAGGAAAGGGATAGCATTAGGAGAAATAACTAGTGTAGATGATGGGGTGACGGATGCAGCAAACCACCATGGCATGTGTATACCTATGTAACAAACCTACACATTCTGAACATGTACCTCAGAACTTAAAGTATAATAATAAAAGAAACTGAAGTGTTTTCTACTGCCTGTTAATCTGTACTCAAAACAATGGTACACAATATTAATAGATTGTCATGATGGTTTCCCCTATTTGTAGTTTCCTGAATCTGATTCAGACATGAAGTTTTTTTTTTTCAATATTACTGAGCCAATCTGACTTCTTAATTTTTAGGAGGAAAATGAGATTTTTTTTTTAATCTAGAGTCTTCTGAAAAGAGGGTAGTTATACCTAACCACCTTGAGGTGGGTCCAAGTCCAATGGGCAGCTTTCTTTTTGTTTTTTAGAAAAAAAAAAAAAAAAAAAAAAAAAAAAAAAAAAAAAAAATTTTTTTTTTTTTTTTTTTTTTTAGCAAAAACCTGCAACAATTATGAAGAATGTGTTTATACAGAAACTCTAAAAGCATTTTATGTTTATTTGTGGCAATAAAATGTAATTTTTCTTTTTAAGAAACATGCAGAGGCCTTGGTAAGATTTGCTGGAGAATAGTTACAATGGCCACAGTTCCTTCCCATCCTTTTCCTGAGAGGGGAAAAATCATATTGTCATTGGGCCTTTACAAGGTGTCCTGCAATAGCCAATTATTAAAATTATTTATTTTGAGAAATTCACAGATATATGTAGTTATAAGAAGTAATACACAAGAGATCCTGTATACCCTTTGCCAAGTTTTCCAAATGGTAACAGCTCGCATAATTATAGTGTAATATGATATCAGAACCAGGAACTTAACACTCAATGATCTATTAATAGTGCAGTTTTACATGCACTCATTTATGTGAATTTAGTGCTATGCAATTTTATTGCATGCGTAGGTTTGTGTATCACCATAGTGATACAGAAGAATTCCATCACAAGGATGCTTCTCCTTGCCCTTTTATAACCATCCCCACCTCCCTCTCACTCTCTTCCACATACCCCTTCTCTCTTCCCATCTAACACACCCCCTGTTTTTAACCTCTGGCAACCACTAGCTGTACTCTATTTCTGTAATTTTATTATCTCAAGACCTATATAAATGGAGGCCAGGCGTGGTGGTGCATGCCTGTAACAGCACTTTGGGAGGCCAAGGTGGGCAGATCACCTGAGGTCAGTAGTTCAAGACCAGTCTGGCAAACATGGTGAAACCCCACCTGTACAATAAATATAAATAAGTTAGCCCAGCATGGTGAGTCATGAATGTAATCTCAGTTACTCAGGAGGTTGAGGCAGGAGAATTGCTTGAATCCAGGTTGTGGAGGTTGCAGTGAGCCAAGATTACACCACTGCACTCTAGCCTGGGTGACACAGGGAGACTCTGTCTCAAAACAGCAACAACAAAAACCGATATAAATGGAATCAAATCATACAACATGTAACCTTTTGAGATATGTTTTTCTCACTTAGCATAATTCCCTTGAGACCATCCAAGCCACTGCTTATATCAATAGTTTGTTTCCTTATTAATGAATAGTGCCACGGTATGGATGTACCATGGTTTGTTCACCATTCAACCCATTGAAGGGCATTTAGCTGTTTCTTGTTTTAGGTTATGCTACAAATATTTACATTCCTTCTGTTTGTTATTCTCCTATTTCTCCTTTCTTGTATTCCTGTGAATTATCTGAACATTTTTAGGTGTCCATCTTGATTTAATTATATTGTTTTTGAGTATATCGCTATGTATAGTATTCTTAGTTGTTGCTCTTGGTGTTGCAATGTACATGTCTTTGTTTTCTGTTGCTATAACAGAATATTAAAGTATGGATAATTTGTAAAGAACAGAAGTTTATTTGGCTCCTGGTTTTGGAAGGTGAAAAGTCCAAGGGTGTGGTGCTGGCATCTGGTGAGGGCCTTCCTGCTGCTTTATAATGTGGCAGAGAGCATCATACAGTGAGAGGGCATGAGTGTGTCAGCTTGGGTCCCTTTCTCTCTCTCTCTCTTTTTTTTCCGAGACAAAGTCTCACTCTGTTACCCAGGCTGGAGTACAGTGGTGTGATCTCAATTCACTGCAGCCTCTGCCTTCCAAGTTCAAGTGATTCTTGTGCCTCAGCCTCCTCAGTAGCTGGGATTACAGGCAAGTGTCACTGCATCTGGCTAATTTTTGTATTTTTAGTAGAGACAGGATTTTGCCATGTTGGCCAGACTTGAACCCTTGACCTCAGGTATCCACCCTCCTTGGCCTCTCAAAGTGCTGGAACTATCTTTTTATCTTCTTATGGTCACCAGTCCCACCATAGGCATCTCACTCAGATATTTTAAACTGATCATGAGTATCTCCCAAAGGCCCTATCTCCAAATATCATCAACATATGAATCTGGGAACTAAGTTTCCAAAATATGAAATTTGGGAACACGTGGAAATTGTACCAATGCACATGTAACTTAACACAGTATTCTGGTATCAAAGTTTGTATCACCTTATTATTATTTTTTTACCCTCCACGCATTTAAATAATAATTTTCTTAAAAATTTCCTCCATATACATTGAGCACCACATTAGATAATGTTAAAAATTCTGCTTCACCTATCAAATATGATTTAAAAAGTTCATGGGAAGAATATTCTATTATATTTAACCCTATTTCTTTTCTCTTTTGGTTTTCTTCTTTCCTTTATGAAGTCCCACGCTCTCTTTTGTATTCATTTTCTTTCTGTTGAGAGAACTTCCTTTACCCACTCATTAAGAATAGGTGTGCCTTGGTGCTCAGAGCGAGATGGAGCTCAGAGTGGTTGGAGCTCAGAACAGAAGGAGCTAGCAGACGTTGCTCCCAGCAAGATGTAGTTCCAAGCAGATGGTACTCAGAGCAAGCTGGAGCTCTAAGCAGATGGTGCTCAGAGTAAGATGGACCTAAGATTGATCAGAACTCCGAGAAAGATAATGCTCTGTGCTGATGGTACTTAGAGCAAGATAGAGCTCAGAGTGACTGGAGCTCTGAGCAAGATGAAGTACCTCCAACTGAGATGGAGCTTCAAGCAGATGTTGCTTGGTGTAAGATGGAGCTCGAAGCAAGATGGAGCTCAGAGTGATTACAGGTCCAAGTAAGATGGAGCTCAGAGAAGATGGACTTCAGAGCGCATAGAGCTCTGAACAAAAAGGAGCAAAGAGCAAAATGGAACTTGGAGCAGATGTTGCTTGGTTAGGATGGAGCTCAGAGTGATTGAAACATAAACATTGCTCTGAGAGATTGGAGCTCTGAACAGACGGTGCTCAGAACAAGATGGAGCTCTTAGTGATTGGAGCTTCGAGAACAATGGGGCTTGGAACAAATGCAGCTCTGAGCAACATTTAGGTCAGAAAACATGTTGCTCATAGTAAGATGGAGCTTGAGCAGATGGTGCTCAGGGCAAAACGAAGTTGGAAGTGATTGGTGCTCTTAGCACAATGGAGCTTGGAGCAGATGAATTTCTGAGCAAGATGGAGCTTGAAGCAGATAAAGCTCTGAGCAAGAAGGAGCTCTAAGCAAGATGGAGCTTGGAGTAAACGTTGCTTGGTTTCAGATGGAGCTCAGAGCAAATGGTGCTCAGAGCAAGAGGGAGCTCAGAGAACATGCTGCTCACAGTAAGATGGCACTTTGAGCAGATGGAGCTCAGAGTAGAATGGAGCTGGAAGCGATTGGAGACCTCAGCAAGATGGAGCTAGGAGAAGCTGGAGCTCTGAGCAGAGGGTGCTCAGAGCAAGATGGAGCTTGGAGCAAATGGAGCTTCAAGCAGATGGTGCTCAGAGCAAAATGGAGCTCAGAGTGATGGGAGCTCTAAGCAAGATGGAGCTTGCAGCAAATGGAGCTCCAAGCAGGTGGTGCTCAGAGCAAGGTGCAGCATGAAATGATTGGAGTTCCAAACCAAATGGAGCTCGGGTCGGATAGACCTCCAAGATAGATCTCTGAGCAAGAAGGAGCTCCAAGCAAGATGGAACTTGTAGCAGATATTGCTGGTATAAGATGGAGCTCTGAGAAGATGGTGCTCAGAGCAAGAGGGAGCTTGGAGTGACTGGCACTCTGAACATTGCTCTGAACAATTGGATCTCAGAGTAAGATGAGCTCCGACCAGATGGTGCTCAGAGCAAAATGGAGCCTGAAGTGATTGGACCTCCCAGCAAGATGGAGCTCAGAGTGATTGGAACTCCAAGCAAGATGGAGCTTGGAGTAGATGGATCTCTGATTAGATGGAGCTCCAAGTAAGCTAAATGTCTACACAGATGGTGCTCAGAGCAAGATAGTGCTTGGAGTGATTGGAGCTCCAAGTAAGCTGGAGCTTGGAGCAGATGAAGCTCTGAGCAAGAAGGAGTTTGGAGTAGACAG